TTCAAGACGTAGGCGATCATGGCTCTCCACAATTTTCTGTCCTTTGTAGCTCTTAATAAATTTCGTCTTTTTCTTATTTCTCTTAAACCTTGTTCCGCTATCCATTTATTAAGCTCGTTCTTCTTCTATGTGCCATGTTCCTTCAAAACGTCGGCGATCATGGCTCTCCACAATTTCCTATCCTTTGTAGCGCTTGCTAAATTTTGTCTTTTTGTTATTTCTCCTAAACCCTATTCCGCCATCCATTTATTCAAGCTCAATTTTCTTCTTCTATGTGCCGTGTCCCTTCAGGACATAGGCGATCATGGCTCTCCACAATTTCCTGTTATTCGTAGCTCTTAATAAATTTTCTCTTTTTGTTATTTCTCCTAAACCTTGTTCCGCCATCAATTTATTCAAGCTCATTCTTCTTCTTCTATATGCCTTCTCCCTTCAGGACGTAGGCGATCATGGCTCTCCACAATTTCCTATCCTTTGTAGCGCTTGGTAAATTTTGTCTTTTATGTCTCCTAAACCCTATTCCGCCATCCATTTATTCAAGCTCATTTTTCTTCTTCTCTATGCCGTGTCCCTTGAGGACATAGGCGATCATGGATCTCCACAATTTCCTTAATAAATTTCATTTTATTTGTCCTAAATCTTACTCCGCCACCTATTTTTTCAAGCTCATTAAGTAGGTTATGCGTTGTCTGTCCCTCTTGCCTTCCTTCTGTCCTGTGGATATCAGATTTTCCAAGCCTTCTGTCTTCATTATGTACCCGAGGAAACGATATATTTTTTTTATTTCTTAATACATTGCTTAGCTTTTACAAGGCATTTTTCGCTATCCCAATGCGTCTTCGGATTTCAGTGTCACATTTTCCGTCTTCTGTTAATACAGTCCCCAGATATCTGAATTGTTGCGCCTGTTTGATTTCGATATATCCAGTCTGTAATTTGCATTCAAGAAACTAAGATAGAAGATTTGAAGAAGTCTGGGGGGGGTAAATGGTTGAAACGTTGTGAGCATAATCAAGAAAATGAGCGTGCTCATCCGAACAGAAATGTGAATAATAATTCATCATCTCCAAAATGTTGGTGAAAATTCTATTACTTGTCTGTAATAAATCCATTTTGGATTGTAATCATTAGATTATAAATTTTATAAATTTATTAGTTCGGTTAATTTAATGGTCATGTCTTTTCTATAAATATTTTCATGGTAATTGTTCGAATGGACTCTTCGCTGTTGTAAATTGTTGTTTTATTTCCCTCCCCACCCAGACAATAAATTGTACATAGTATTTTCATAGAGACAATGAGGTATTACGGTGGATGCAGTAAGAAAGGTAAGTAAGAATGTTTTGGTGGAAGGAATATTGTTGTATGTTTGGGTCAGTGTCTGTGGCTAGCTAAGTTTAAAGTTAAGACAGATTAAGATCGTCCTTTTCCCCATTCTCATTTTAGCCTTGTGCCACATTTTGTACCATTGTACAAATAAATATCGCTCTTCCCCATCCCCTCCCTCTTTAGGTGGTCAGTGATGTCAGTTCTCTGGTGGATGCAGGGCACCTTTCATTTCGCGTGTGTGTTTTTCGTATTTGTTGTTGTGTCTGAATGAGTGCGTGTCTGTGTGAGTGCATGAAATAAATGAATGTTTTATATTATTATAGTTCCGCATTGATTTCGTTCAGTTAACTTATATTTCTACCACATTTAAGGATTGCTGAGGGGGGGTATAACTAACTTCATTTTGTTTATTTTCTTGTAAATAGTTTTGTTTCATATTGTAAATATTGTAAATACTCTTTTGGGCTAGTTTTAAAATTGTTGTTTTATTCCCCTCCCTTCACAGACAATGAGTTGTATATATGGGGACTATTTAGGACTTTAATAGAGACAAGAGGTATTACGGTGATAGTAGTAAGAAATGTAAGTAAGAATGCCTTGTTTTGGTGTTAGGAATATTGTGGTACGTTTGAATCAGTGTTTGTGGCTAGTTAAGTTTAATGTTAAGACAGAAGAAGACCGTCCTTTTCCTCATTCCCCATTTGTTAGCCTTCTACCCCATTTTCATAAGCGGAAATAAATATCACTCGCGCTGTTGCACCTTAATTATATGAATTTAAACGCAGTGCTAGATTTGCGGCAAGGTCTCATCAATTCAAAGTTAAATCGGCTAAATGTAACCGTAAGTTCTGTACTTTTGGAACTCTGTTTCGTGTCTATGTTTACCTGTAAAATTTAATCTTCAAAAATTTAAATGCAGTGTCAATCGTCGTCTACTGTCTTTTTGATTTCTCGTTTATTGTTCACGCTCCTTCGTAATGTTTCTCTTTTTGTTTTCTTTCACACTCACTAACCGCTTATATCTTAGTCGCTTTATTACCTTGCATGGCGGGAAATAATTATAAAAATTCTAGTGAAAATATTTCGCTTCCTTCAAAATTTTAAATCCTTGACAATTATCCTGATATAAAGGATTCAAAGTTTAATTTACTTGTTTCTTTTGTTAAAATGCAATGACAAACTCACCCAATATGGTAAAGACATGAAAGCTATGTGATTCAGGATTGTCGAACTTTGAAACTAGGTGCAATCAAAGCACGAAATATTTAAGGGATATTGTAAAATCGTAGAACGTGCTCTCAAGCCTTGGATGTTAGCCAGTCTAGGAGAAAGACGACTCTGGAATCAAAACTTTAAAGAACGGGAGGCCATTTCACTATCTCTCCCAAGAAGTCATAGAAATTCACGAGTAATGAAGAAAAGGAATGTGTGGAGAGTCATGATCACCTCCATAATAAATAAATTACCAGTTTGTCGGTAATAAAGAAAAGGAATGTGTGGAGAGCCATGATCACCTCCATAATAAATAAATTACCAGTGCACCGGTAATGAAGAAAAGGAATGCGTGGAGAGTCATGATCATCTCCATAATAAATAAATTACCAGATTTTTCGGTAATAAAGAAAAGGAATGCGTGTAGAGCCATGATCACCTCCAGAATAAATAAATTACCAGTGCACCGGTAATAAAGAAAAGGAATGTATGGAGGCCCATTTTGCGGAGAGATAATAATCGCTTAGTGATATAAGGATAATTTTTGGGGAGTAATCTATTTTAACTAAAATTTACATGTTATGATCTTTTCTTTTTTAACTATTATTTAACGTGTAAATATCTTGATTAATTTATTTTTAAGAAATTTTAGTTAAATGTTATTTCTCTTTAAATGGAATTTATTAGAGTATCAATCAATATCCCAAATTATTTATACCGTATTTTAGGATTTTTCTTTTTGTAAATGGTCTAAGTCATTTTAATCACTCTATTGCAAACGTTGTGTTAAGTGTAGATAAGAAAAAAATAAGAATCAAAAGGAAATTTATAAAAAGAGAAAGACTAAACAAATAAGATATAATAAAGAATTTAAAAGAAGAAGAAGAGAAAGAAAAGAAGTCGTAAGACGAGCTAATATAATAAATCATTTTTATTTTATCTCTATCTATAAAAGGCAGGATGTGCGTGTGTGTGTGTGTGTGTGTGTGTGTGTGTGTGTGTGTGTGTGTGTGTGTGTGTGTGTGTGTGTGTGTAACGGATGCACGGCCGTAATTTTCGATGGATTTGCACCAAAATTTACATGCACATGCTCCAAGTTAGCGGGAAAGGCCAAGACCGGCATTGCATTTCCCAACTCCCATCGATAGTGGAAATAATGGATTTTTTCATGCTCCTATGGCAGTTTTCATGTAGTTTGCGGCCATTTTCTACTGGCCAGAGTGAGAGCCAATAGTTGGCTGCCACGAATAGGCAGGAAGATTCTATTGGCCAGTGTGAGAGCCAACAGCTGACTGACACGAATGTTAACTAGCATGCTAGCATGCAAAAAATCGATAGCTGTATTCGTCACAAGTGGGAAAAATTTAAATCTACATGGTACTTTACTCCAATTGGCTCATTCACTTGCTTAAACTCAACGTTGATTCTGATTCCGCAGAACTGGTTTGGGTGTGAAAAAGTATTTGTTGTTAACATTCTTTTTTCATTCGGTTTTTCCAGTTACGAGTCCTTTTTTTAAGCTGATCGTTTTGTGTTCATTTTATTTAGTTCTTTTTTCGTAACAGATTTAATGTTTAGTCTAGAGCTTAGAAAAAATTCGCAGTGTGAGATAGGCAAGAAGTAAGGCATGTAGCCACATCAGCATGGCAAATGGCACTCCTTTAAAGGCAAGGAAGGGCAAAAATATTTTAAGTCAAGTGATAGCGATTGCTGTATGATTCGTACGATTTTTGAATCAAGCACGGGCAACGCCAGGCCATGCTAGTTATATATATATATATATATATATATATATATATATATATATATATATATATATATATATAAAATAAAAACGATTTATTATATATATATATATATAATAAATCGTTTTATTTTATTTATATATATATATATATAAAAAAAAAATTTATTATATATATATATATATATATATATATATATATATATATATATATATATATATATATATATATATATATATATATATATATATAAAATAAAACGATTTATTATATATATATATATATATATATATATATATATATATATATATATATATTTATTTCCTTCTCTTCTTCCAAAAACCCCTGACTTGGCCGCATGTAGAAAGATCAGTACAACCAAGCATACCCGATATATAACATTGAATAGACCCAAGTGAAGTCTTGATTTGTTGCTGCTTTCTGTGGGAATTTATATCATGCACATCCTAAAGCTAGTAGCAAATTTTATTCTGGGTGCGGTCCGAATACGGATCATATTCGGTCGGGTCACCCATCGAAGAAGTCTGTTGTTTATTTAGATCCGAAACTTTTAGTCACATTGGAGCAACAACACTGTCGACGCACCTAGATTCGCCACTTAAAGGTGTATTTTTAATAGTCTTACTAATTGGAACTCGGCTCTCTGATTAACAATTCCGAGTCATTCTCCATTACACCACGCGCAAAACCAAGATTACAACATCTGCTATTCCCAAGCGACTACCCATCGAGGTACTGGCCAAGATCGACGTTGCTTAACCTCGATGTTCGTACGAGAACTGGTGTTTCAACATGATGTGGTCGTAAGCAACGATGAGGATGCAAACAAGGAGGAGGCTTATACTTAACACCAGAAAGAGTCAACTCAAGTTTCTGGGACACATAATGAGGAAGGAAGACCTGGAGAATCTGATACTCACGGGTCGAATAGAGGGAAAGAGAGACAAGGGAAAGCAACGCGTGACATATCTGGCGTGATTAAGCAAGTGGATAACATAAGGTGGTTTAGGGGAGGAAGCAAAGGGAAGGAACTTGTTGAGAACTGCAATGGATAGAAGGATGTGGAGAGCCATGATCGACTACTTCCTGAAAGGACATGGCTCATGAAAAGAAGTAAGTAGCCTTAAGTATCCGTCCTGAAGTTATATGGCTTTTTTTTTTGGCTTTTTTTTAATGCGTTTCAGTCGTAGTCACAGCGATAAGCCACGTTTTGGCAAATAAAAGATGGCTAACGTGGAAAATATTTTCCGGGCAACGCTACTATTGATTTTTTTTTCTTTCTTTTTTTAGCGATTTTTCTTTTCTTTTTTTTTTTGTAACGGAAAATCTCTCTCAATCTCTCTCTCTCTCTCTCTCTCTCTCTCTATTCTCTCTCTCTCTCCTCTCTCTCTCAGGAATCTTTGCCAATGTGTTTATTGCACTTCTTCGCCCTATTAGAATTTTCCAAAATAAACAGGAATCATTTTACAAGCTGGATTGTTTCCTATACTAATACATGTTTCGCCGTATTATATTTTCCAATAAACATTTCTCTCCAGTTATCATTTCTATAACAACTCTGGATTGCTTTAACTGCTAATAAGAAAACTAATAAAGTGCTTTCTCATTTCCGTCTCCAAAGATTCGAAATTTGCCTTCTCTTCGGTTAGTTGCCATTCAAAGATACGTCAGTCTCCTGTAATTAACTCACTGCTAAAGACAGAATATATGACAGTTTATGTGGATAGGAGGGGGAAGATAACGGTTAACCCTAGACATGAACAGGTTAAGATTGTAGTGATCGGGGAAACATCCTCTTGGGAGTCTGTTCCATAGGGCAGTGGTTTGCAGGAAGAAGCTGTTTGAGTGGAACTTATTTCTCACCAATGGGTAGTTTATATGGATAGGAGAGGAAGATAACGGTTAACGCTAGACTTGAACAGGTTAAGATTGTAGTGATTGGGGAAAACATCCTCTTGAGAGTCTGTTCCACAAAGCAGTGGAAGAAGTTGTTCGAGTGGAATTAACCTCTCACCAATGGAATATGGATGGAATAAGGGTTGCTTACTATAATGGGCGTGGCATGGCAGGTCCTAGCCGTGAATGTTAGACCTGACAGAACCAAGGAATTTAGTTAATCTGAGAACTTTCCATGGAAGTAGCAATAGTGCAATGAGTGGTTTGTCGGAAAGAAAGGACATTTAAGGCAATCAGTCTTTGCAATAAAGTGACTGATATCATCAATAAAGCATTAATGGTATTAGTACAAATCAAATTCGTCATGTATCTGATTGATGTTAAATTCAGCATCTTGACTCTAGAATTTCGTAGACTAAATCTTTTCTAATTGTTCAACCCACTCTTCAGGAGATCTTAGATATATATATGATGGACTCTCCCGTCGATTTCGACGTATGAGGTTCCGACAACTTTTTAATGACCTTTATGTTTGAATCTAGAGTGACATTTTAGACCTGCCAATGACTTACAAAGAAAACCACAGATTGGGCAAGCGTGTGAGCAAAGAGGGTGCACTTCTCTGGCACCTTCTGAGGCTTTTTTCCTTTCTCCTGCTTCACGGAGCTTGACAACGCTTGCCGCCGAAAAGTTACACTTTTCCAAGCTTTGCGATCCAAGGCAGTATTCTCCAAATCAGTGTGTGCAATATTTGCAGCTGCCAGGTTACTTTTCAGCTTATCTTTAAACCTGAGCAAGGGTCGGCCAACATTCCGTTGACCACTTTCAAGCTGGCTGTACATGAGAATCTTTGGAATTCTACCATCTTGCATCTGTACAACATGACCGGCCCATCGTAACTGTGCCCTCATGAGGAAGCTCTCAATTCCGTCAATGTTACACATCGTTAGAAGGTCGGCATTGGATTTTTTGTCCTGCAGGGTTAGTCCACAGATTGCTCGAGATATATATATATATATATATATATATATATATATATATAGCGAACGAGACAGAGTGTTATATATATGGATGGTATATATGTTCAAAACCTTTCGTAATCTCAAAATAAACACGAGTACACAAATGTGACATCATCCTGCTATAGTATAACATAATATGACAAATTTCAAATTTCCATTTTGTTTTATTTAAATAATTATATATATATATATAATATATATATATATATATATAAATATATATGGTTAAATATATATATTAATAAAATAAAACTTACCGATTTTTATTATATAAA